TTTAGGAGGAATTTCATGTTCTCAGAGCCTTAAAGCTGCAGTCCCTCATCTGTTTCCCTCACCTGAGAAATTGGGCTGTCTCTTACGGGTGTGAGTCCACGATGGAAATAATGCTAATGAGAGTGGGCCGGTGCTCTTAATTATGGTCTGAAAAGGGTTTAGTGGGCGATTTCTCATGCTCTAACCTTGACTTAGGTAGTTTGAATTTTCTGTACTTGACTCTCTTATGTCTCTCCTTCCAAGGAGAGGAGAAGTGGAAATCCTTTTCAGGTGGCCTGGAAATCTATTCTAGTCCAGCAATGTTCTCTGCTTTTTCCTGAGTATTACAGGTTCCTGATGAGAAGGAGAAGGAGGAGGGAGTCACACTTAGGACCCTTCTGTGGGAGAAACAGTAGCCTCCAGGAGCAGTTCTTTCCATATTGTGGAAAACCTCCTCCCTACCACATGCCTACAATGGCTTGACTGAACCATGTCCTAAGAAGAAAGCAAAACACCCACCTACATGTGGAACTGCCCTGACTCAAACGCCCTTACTTTCTCTAGAAAACGGACTTCTCTCTAATACCTACTCCAAGGACTTTCATTTTCAGCAACATGGCAGACTAATTTAGCCCCCCACTTCCCAAACCTGCAGAAAAAGACATGCTGGATAAAATAAATAAGATGCAGCATTTAAAAAAATCTTTTTAGTCAATATCTAAAGAAGAAAACCAAAATTCCCAGGGGATGAACTATAAAATGTGGCTCATAGCTAGAACACCAGTTCATAAATGAGTTGGTCCTGTGGCTGGCAGGGTGAGACTGGCCCCAGATATAAGCCCCAATAGCTGAGGTTTCCATACAAAAAGGGGGACAGGAGATATGATCTTAAGGGACTAAAGCTCAGACTCTGCATAACAGCTGGATTAGGAAATTTGGAAATGGGGCCCCTTCTGTGTAAGGGAGGCTGGATGAACTCCTCCCACCAGCTCAAGAGGGAGCAAAGAAACTACTCTCTGCTAAGAGCTCCAGGCAGAAAATAAAACAAAGCTCCCATGAGTATCTGAAACCTCTCCAAATTCACACTCCATGTACCAGGAGTGCATACATCCCAAACTGAGATATTAATGTACAGTCTGGTACTGGATTAGTAAAATCCAGTCATGTCCAGCACAAGCAGATATGAGGCTTGCAAAGGAAAACGCAATCCTGGCTGAAGAGCCCCCTGCCTAAGGAGACTATGTTAGCTTGCTGTCGCAAAGACCCTCAAATAGAGTGGCTTAAACAGCAGAAAGTTACCTTCTCGTGTTCTAGAAGCTAGGATTCTGAGATCAAGGTGGCAGCGGAATTGGTTCTTTCCGAAGGTTGTGAGGGAGAATCTGTTCCAGGCCTCTTCCTCCGCTTCTAGTGGTTTGTGGGCAATCTTTGACATTCCTTGGCTTATAAGCATCACCCATGTCTCTGCCTTCATTCCACCTGTGTTATAGCAGTCTTTCTGTGTTATGTCTGCATTCTCATTTTCTCTTTTTGTAAAGATGCCAGTTGCATTGGATCAGGGGTCCAGCTACTTCAGTATACCCTCCCCTTAACTTAGATAATTACATCTGCAATGATACTTTTTCCAAATAGGGTTCTAGAGGTTTCCACATATGGATTTTGGGGAGAACGCAATTGAACCAGTAACAGAGGCAATCCCAACAAGGAGGGTCAGCGACACGTACACACACGGAAGGAGAGTAGCACCCCAGGAAGTGACAGAGCAGTCTGAAAGAGGCAAGGCTCTGAAACTCGCTCACGCTCAGTCGTCCGAGTAGTCACAGGTAGAGACCATCCTTCATGTAACACAGCTTTTATAAGCATCAGACTAGATAGTGTATGTGCAAGCACCTTGCAGACTGCCACATACTTTTCATTTTTATTATTTAGTTAATTAAAGACACTGTAATAACTCTTATTTATTCAGGGCTATGCTAAACTCACATTATCTCATTCAATTCTTACCCATAACCCTGTGTAGTAAATTTCTTAATTTTGTGGATAAGAAGATTACAGTTTAGGTAAATTAAGTCATTTGCCAGAAGCCACATGGCCAGGCAGTAGCAGGGCTAGAATTGAAACTTTGGCCTGTCGGTCCAAAGTCTGAGCCCTTCGTTATGTTGAATATTTCCCAGGTATTAAGGCTAAGTTCTAGGCAGTGTCCAGGGGGAGGAGGAGGCAAAAGAAAGGAGATGTACTCTGTTCTGAGAAGGAAAATCCAGTGAGGAAGGTAGATGGAGACTTATTTTAAAAAAGCAAATAAGCATGGTGTTGGTGGTGGGGGGAAGGGACAGACAGAAAGAGAACCATGAATGAGACCCAGTCCCTGCCCTGGAGGGGCAAACAGTAGATGTGCAGGAGTGTTCAGGGGTGCAGGCGAGCCTTGTGACCCTGGAATAGAGAATGGCTTGGGGGTCAGGGTCAGGAGAGCTGCAGGACAAGGTGATGTTGGACCTCATCTGGAATATTCCAGGGTATGGGCTTCTTTTGAATCCCAACTCTACTTCTTACAAGTTGTACAACCCTGAACAAGTTACTTAAATTCTCAAAACCTCAGTTTCTTGAACGATAAAATGAAAATAATTGTCTGCCTTCTTAATAGCCATGTGCCTCTTCTTTCTTCCTACAGAATCCCCATTTCATTTTGTTTAGAGACGGGGTTACCCAGACTAGCGTGCAGTCGAGCAATCTCAGCTCACTGCAGCCTTGAACTCCTGGGCCCAAGTGACCCTCCCAGTAGCCGCTGGAGTAGCTGGGACTACAAGTGTGTGGCACTGTGGTCCACTATTAAAAAAATTTTTTTTAATTGTACTTTGAGTTCTGAGGTACATGTGCAGATCTTGCAGCACTGTTGCATAGGTACACACAGGCCATGGTGGTTTGCTGCCTCCATCCCTCCATTATCTACATTAGGCATTTCTCCCAATGTTATCCTTCCCCAACCTACCCATCCCTTGCTGTCCCTCCCCAGTCCCCCACCCCCCAACAGACCTCAGTGTGTGATGCTCCCCTCCCTGTGTCCATGTGTTCTCATTGTTCAACACCCGCCTATGAGTGAGACGATGCAGTGTTTGGTTTTCTGTTCTTGTGTCAGTTTGCTGAGGATAATGGCCTCCAGCTCCATCCCAGTCCCTGCAAAGGATATAGTCTTGTTCCCTTTTATGGCTGCAAGCTATTCTCCTGTCTTGGGCTCCCAAAATGCAGAGATTATGCTGTGTGTGGCCTTTTTTTTTGTAATCTATCCTCCTTCCTCTCCTATACATCAAAGGAGGTAGGCCTGGATGCTCGTGTGGCTGCAGAGACTGAAGCAGACTGAGCCCAGTCAATCATGGGCATGCCCCTTTTCTCCCATGGTGATAAATTGAGGTGTGGGTGGGAAATCAAGGTCTAGTTAGGGACGTGTGAGAAAGATTCTGCTGCAGGGTCTCTGAACGAAGTCCTCCCTTGTCATAAATATAAAGAATGTAAAGAAAGTAAAGAAATATATTATCTAGTATATAGATACAGATATATATTTATAGAATAAAGTCTCTTTTCTGCCCCTGGACGTTTGTGAGGATGAGGTAACCGGAAGTGTGGCAGCCATCTCGAAACCACCGTGGTTGCTAATCTGAGGATAAGGTCAATGAGAATGACAGAGAGAAAGCCTAAAAGTAACCTGGATCCCTGATGACTTTGTTCAGCCACTGAATTATGCAGCTCAGACTCTGTACTGCCTCTAGAGTTCTTGCTACATGAGAAAATAAATGTTTTACTGCTTAGGGTCTTGTATTATTTATAGTCAAAAACATCCTAAATGATTTACCTTATAGATCTGTAGGGAGTAAATGAAGTAATCCCTATAAAGTGTTCAGCACTGTGAAATGTTAACAATTATCATTCATAGAACATTTTATTACGGAATTATATACTGCTTTCTTCTTTACTAGCATTGGCTGGAAAGCCGATACCTACAAGATGGCACTTGGACATGCTGAAGGAAGGAGCCTCAAGGTCTCTCTGTCCTCCCCACCCGGCTGTCTTTCCCTAAACCTTTATCTCCCTGAGATCCAGACCCAAGAGAAACAATTGTTTCTCCTTTCCCTCCCTGTAAGACCAAGAAGTAACCACACCTGAACAGGCTTTTTCACAAGATAATGTACCAGTTAATCTTTGTTGCCTGATCCATTCATCCACCTTGGTGTTGGGGGAGACAGGGGAAAAGAGAAAGAGAATGATGAATGAGACCCAGTCCTTGCCCTGGAAGGGCAAACAGTAGCTCTTCCACAGAGTGATCCTCAACGGATGGCTCTTCTCTCTGCTCCCATAACCTGTTTTGCCAGGATGGTATATAGGCTTCTGAACCCCGCTGGGAGGTGGACAGTCACTCTCTGATTCTCCTCGTGTATACACAGTGAATAAATTTGTATGCCCTGCTATTAATCTGCATCTTGTCAGTGGTTTTTCAGCGACTCTTCGGGAAGGCCACAGGGAACATATCCCTTGGCTCTTACACTAATGTGTTGTATTTCTCCAAATATATGTGAGATTATTTTTGGCCAGAACTCAAGCTTCTGCTTCTTGAATGTCCCACTCAGCTGAGAAGCAAAATACATAGTTGATGTTTAATACCTATTTCATCATTAATCACTGTATATGTATATTCCCTAAGTATAATGCTGATGGACAATCCAACCCAGACTCTGCCCTTTTGATTTGTGGGAAGATTGTGTCCCCAAGAATGTTTTATTTTGCCACTGAGAAGTGAATTCCAGGAGAATCAAAGTAGTTTGAAAAAGGGGGAAATGGCAGACCTTTCTTAAAACTGTCTGGAAGCTGCCAGAATCGTAGGCTATCAGGGCTAGAAAAGACTTGGGAATCATCTGGTCCATCCTCATTTTACAGTGAAGGCCCAAAGACTTCCTTAAAGATACAGCAAGGTGCCAAGCTGGGACTCCTAACCAAACTCTTTTCATTATTTTTCATAACTTCTCTGATTTCTCCAGAGTCAACTTTCCTCACAATCTGAATGAAAGCCCTCTCCCCAGAGGCTGTTTGGGCTGCCGGGAATCTACGGGAATCCGTGCATCTACTTCTTACCAAGGTCGCTCTGCAGAGTTACTGCCAGGGGCCAGGTGGCCTGGCACGAGATCTGAGATTCGGCATCCTTTGCCGGCTGCAAACATCAGCCCCTCATGCCTGGCAGGTCATTGAGAGTGAGGAGCTGGGAAGAGCCCTCTCTCTGTCCACACACTGATCAGCTCCTAGTCTGGAAGTCTGGGGACAAGGATCATGAGAGACTCCAGAGCCTCATCTGTGTCAGTGCTAAGGGGAGCGTGGCACTGACATCCCTGGGTGAGATCTTGTTCCCTCTGTCCTAGGCTGGCTCTCCAGGAGGCCTACCTCCCACCTCCCAACCAGAATGCTCCTACCCTCACCTGCTCCGCACCCCCAAGTTGTTGACCTGTTCAACTTAAATGCAAATGTCTACGGCTCAGTAGGGATTTCCCCAACTTCCCCCTCCCCCAAAATTAACCACATCCTCCTCTGTGTTCCCATTGCACTCTCTTTTTAAACACCACCATTATAAAATTTAATACAAGATTATTTTAGTTCAGTGTTTTCTGCTAATCAGTCCTTTTCAAACTTTATATACATACGGATCAACTAGGGATTTGGTAAAATGGAAATTCAGATTCTGTAGGTCTGGGATGGGGCCTGGGCTTCTACATTTCTAACAAGTTCCCCGGGGACACTGGTAGCCCATGGACCGCACTTTGAAAGCTGCTATTACAAAGATACGTAAAATATGTTACCCAGCCTTAAGGAATCAAAAGTTACTGCTTTTCAATTCCTTAAGGCTGAATAACATATTTTATGTGTCTTTGTAATGCCAGCTTTTAGCACAGGATCTGGCTGATTATAGGTGGTTAAGAAATATTTGTTGAATTTGCAGTGGAGTAGGTTAAGGTTTCTGGGGTGTTCCTTTTACACATAAATATGTAATTTATTTTCTTTCAAGTTATTTTATTTTTATCTTTATTAATTTATTTATTTATTGAGACTGGGTTTCACCGTCACCCAGGCTGGAGTTCAGTGGCAGGATCATGGCTCACAGCAGCCTTGAACTCCTGGGCTCAAGGGATCCTCCTACCTCAGTCTCCTAGGACTACAGGCTAGTATAACCATACCTGGCTAATTTTTAATTTTTATTTATTTTATTTTTATAGAGATGGGGCTTTGCTTTTTTTGTCCAGGCTGGTCTTGAACTATTGGACTATTGGCTTCAAGCAATCCTTCTGCTTCACACTCCCTAACTGCTGGGATTGTAGACATGAGCCACTGCACCAGGCCCATTTTATCTTTAGTAACCTGGTAGTAATTTAAGATATGAAGAAAAGAGTCAAATTTGTTCCCTTTATGGGGGATGCTACCATGATTGCCTCACACAGCATGGTCAAAGACCTTGATAAGAATAGATTCCAAAGGGCATGGCTGGTGAAAAGACCTCATGGCTCACAGATTGAAGACTTTAGTTACAGAGCCTCTGAGGTTAGGTCAGGACCGTCTTGAAGCATTTCTTAATGGTGCTTCGGTGTCACGAGTGTTTGTTATTTGGGGAGAATCCAGGAGGATGGCTTGAGCTTGATTTTGGAATTCCAAGTAAAAAAATAAAACAGAACAATATGGGCTGAGCAAGTCTGATGTCCCATAGGGTCGAATTTCTTTAGCATATAGACCCAGTCTTTCTGCTCATTAAGGTAATATGGAAAACCATGACCGCTTTAGCCAGAGGTTCCAATTCTCTCTGCAGCTGCAGCAGCCAGACCGCCTCTCACATTCCCACATGTTTTGCAAGTAAGTGATGTGAACAGTATTAGATACTGTTGTAGCTAAAATGGCAGAAAGAGGGGTGGGGATGTGGGGATCACAGAAAGCAGGATAAATCTGGGCAGCACCCAAACCTCAGCTTTACAGATCCAGAAACTCAATTGTATCATTTGATCAGGGTTCTGAAGGACTGACTGACACTAATAGATAAACCAGAAGGCCTATTTGTTCATTAACATTGAAGGAGATGTTTTTCCATGCCTGACATACTCATGCCTGCTTGGAAGACCCCCATCCCCCATGCACACCACCCACACAAGCACGCACACACCCATCCACACTTTCCTCTTCCTTGTGCTCTGGGATCAGGGTTCCTTAATTAGTACCTCCTGGTGAACATGGACTCAGAATATAGATACTGGGTGAATGCACAGGAAAAATACAGCAGGTAAAGGAAAAGCTAGACAAAGTGTCTCTTCTCCAAAAAGATTTCACTTCTGTAATAATTGCTTTTTTTCTCCCAAATAACATCTTTCTCTTTGGCCAGTACTGGATGAAGTCAGATAAATTCTCACTTTTAAATATCTGTGTTTCTGGACCCCATGTTGACCAGCCTCTTCCCTTCTGCTTTCAAAACAATTGGAGATTTGCTTCAAGCTTTTTTCAGTTGTGTTCTAGACTTCAGGATTTATACAACATAGCACTGGGTGTCTGTTCATGTGAGACACTTGTGCAGAGATGGTTGCTGTTCTTTGGTGCTGACTCTCCTTGTCCCCGAGTTCTGGTCTCTACTCCTGGCAATATTACCGAGAGGTTAGACAGTGTGGGACCGAACAGCAAGATCCAGCCCGTAGGCCTGCCCGAGTGCTGGGCTCTCCCGTGAATCTGTGGGCTCCCTGGGAGGAAGGGCTCTTGAAGGCTGCAGTGACAGCCCTGGCCCACTTAACTTTTGTGCCTGGTGCTGAGCTAGGTGGGGTGTTCTTGTATTTCTTGTTGACAGCTGCCTTGTGACTGAGCATCTCAGCATATATTTTGTTACCAACTAACCTGCTAACCATGTGACATCCTGTGAGTCACTTCTCTGTGGGCTTCAGCTTCTTCATCTGTAAAAAAAAAATAAATAAATAAATAAAAGAGGAATTTGGAAGAAATTAGCTTTACTGGCCTCATTCAGTCCTGAGATGAACAAAGTTTTTATTTATTTAATATATTTATTTTATATGTACTTCTTATACATGTAATATAGCTAGCATATAATGTAATATAATACAATGCATAGATTCCATATAAAATGATTTATTTATTTATTTAGGTTTTGGCATTTGTTTTGTTCTGTTTTTGAGATAGAGTCTCACTCTGTCGCCCAGGCTGGAGTCTTGAACTCAAACAGTCCTCCCACCTCAGCCTCTTAAGTAGCTGGGACTACAGGCACACACCACCAAGCCTGGCTAGGTATTTATATTTATAACTTGCTTTAAAATACAATATTTTGTGGAATCCCCATAATTCCTCATTTACATGTGAGGCGATTGAGTCTTAGAGAAGATAAATAACTTGTTATTGTTGTTGTTTTGACATGGACTCTTGCTCAGCTGCCCAGGCTGGAATGCAGTGGCATGATCTTTGCTCACTGCAACCTCCATCTCCTGGGTTCAAGTGATTCTCCTGCCTCGGCCTCCATAGTAGCTGGGATTACAGGCACATGCCATCACACCTGGCTAATTTTTATATTTTTAGTAGAGGTGGGGTTTAACCATGTTGGCCAGGCTGGTCTCAAACTCCTGACCTTAAGTGATCCACCTGCCTCGGCCTCCCAAAACACTGGAATTACAAGCATGAGCCACTGTGCCCGGCCTGAAACTACCTTTGTAAGACTAATGAAAGGCCACAAGATTCGATCATGGTTCTCTACAGCCTTACCTCCTGGGATAAAAGGATCCTTCTGCCTCAGCCTCCAGAATAGCTGAGACTACATGTGCACACCACTGCACCCAGCTAATTTTCAAATAATTTTTTTTAATTGGTAGAAATGAAGTCTCACCATGTTACCCAGGCTGGTCTTGAACTCCTGGGCTCAAGCAATCCTCCCGCCTCAGCCTCCCAAAATGCTGGAATTACAGGCATGAGTCACTGCTTCTAGCCAAATTTCTGGTGTTTATAAGCCACAAGTTTATGGTATTTTGTTATAGCAGCCTGAACAGACTAGTACAGGAGGGAGGTAAGGAAGGTAGTAATGGGGTCAAGGGCTAGTGGGAGGAGAGGCAAGCGGGGAGACCCTCTACTAGAGTCTCTGAGAATAGCAGACACTCAAGCGTTATGCTGGAAAAAATGCTTATTTTATTGTTTGTCAATGGTTAGCTGATTACCAATGAACCGGAGCAGAAGACCAGACAGAAACCATGACACCCACCCTACCTGATCAAGGTAGGCGGATCACTTGAGGTTTGGACCTCCTCCAAATCCATTTCCCTTCTGTATGTGGATTCAGTGGGCTGGATAGAGAATATAAGTAAGCCTCAGGAGGCTCCCTCCACATTCTAGAGCCTGAGGTGGCCCTGAGTGAATGGCCATTCCTGAGCCTTTTGCTTCTGCCTTTGACCAGACCTACTTTCAGTTCAATGGGAGGCTTCGAGGGTCATCTGTACCCAGGGCTGTCTTTCTTCTTCTATGGACTTTATCATGCACAACTTGTCTCCAGAGCCTTGATATGCAATCACCCTGTCCAGTATCCACCACGCCATCCCTGGAGCAAAGGAAGATGGGCAAAGCTACGGCAAATAAACTACATTGGGTTGCTGAAGATACTGAGCGCCTGTGTTTTAGTAGCCCAAGAGTTGCACAGCGTTCCTAGACAGTTCGTACTTATCAGCAAGATGTATCATCAGAGAAACTTCATGTTCCGCAAACAGTGGCAGCATCTCACTCTCTATATGACTTTCTTGCTGAGTGGGTGTGTAGATGTGGTGAGCCAGAACCTGTTGCCCAAGAGATGTGCTGCCCTGGAGCAAGGTGCCCAAGCTCTGGGCATGTTCGTATTTCTGCCCCTGATGGTGTCTCACCTGCAGGACACAGAAGGAGTGGAGCTTCAGTCTCACGTGCTGCTCACACAGGCCATGCTCCTGCTGACTCTGGTGGTGACCGCAGAGCTGTGGGCTCCCAACAAGCCACTGATCTGGATCATGAAAGCCTTTCTGTGTACGGTCACAGGCTCTTGGCTAATGCACATAGGCTTCATGCTGTTCAAACCAATCTCTGGCTATCAATGGATGGATGATGACAGAAATGACATTATGTTTGTCACCACCTTCTTCTGCTGGCATGTGATCTTCAGTGCCATTTTGATGATCTGGATCTACGGCTTCTCCTTTTGGTGCTATTGCTACATTTTTGTTAAGGCCTGAACCTGGATGTGCCGCAATTGGTTCTCTATCATCTGCATACAGCAGGACATCTGGATGAGACGTTGTGGGAGGTGGAGCTTCCAGACAGGAGAATCCTGCATCCTTCCTTCAGAGGCGTGCCGT